CCTCCAACACACACGAACGCGCACATGACCAATGAAGGCCCGAGATAAGTTTGTGCACAGATGGAAGGCTGACAGGCAGGCAGGCCATCCAGTTATTTTAGCCGGGCCGGCTCAGATGATTGGTCGTGCTTTTTACAGCACTACGGCTTCCAAAGATGATTTGAATGAATTTATTGTCAAAGCATTTAATATATTCATTCGGGATATCGAGATGTTAAGAGCATTCCATGGAATATAACAAAAAGCGTTCCTGAAATAAATTACATACCCCACCTTTAAATGGTCCAGGGGCAGTGGGAAAATCAATATTAAGAATGTGTTAAAGGTAATTCAACGTGTAGTAAAGCAGATTTTAAAGTTCAGGATAAAACCACACAAAAAATAGATGTTTGATGGAGGACCGAATCATTTGCTGACACAGTGCAAATAAAAAAACAATACTTCAGTGCTGATATTTACTCCATTGCTTGTTCCTGTGTTCATTACATCTTTAGAGTGTAAGGGGCAAAGGTTAAAACGATTTTTAAAGAAAGGAACCAGCAGCAGTGGTGCCCTGCAGAAAGTTTCCTAGCATGAATGAGGGGCACTATATATATACCCAATCTTCAGCATATCTTTAAACTGAAACCAGCCTTAACTCAACAAACCAATCTTGAGGTTATATAATGGTGAGTGAGCCCATGGTCTACTGATACAAACCTTTTGCATTTGCAATATTACAAACTGGGTTAAGATCTTTTGTTACCAATCATTTTATAAATGAAATGGTGTTGTGTGTTCCCAGTTCAATCTAGAATTCTAATATATTTTTCTATGGTTTGTCATGTAATCTTATCACATGATTTATTTTGGGACTTTAAAGTGAGAGAACAAAGACAAAAATATTATATATCTTGTATAATATATTTATTTATATTCAAAACCGCACATTCAGTCTTTTCTCTTTGTGTGTGTGTCCTGTCAGTGAGCGGGCGGAGGTGTGAAACAGTTTGCAGTGTTTATAAGCTGCAGCGAGGTCACCTCGACTATAAAAACATCGCCCAGATGTCTGCAAGAGGATCCTGGCTCGGACAGAGAGGGGATCCATTGATGCCAAAGTAACCATGGGACAGTGGGAGGACGGCTGTGTGTGTTTCTATTTAATCACGTAATACAATGGTTCGTTTTTACAAAATTGGGAAAGTATGAATCACTATTTGTTGAACTAACCTCCTCCTTGTAATAGTGGAGCAGTGGTTTCCTTTCTGTGTGTGAACGAGTGTCCATATTAATACTGCTGATATTATTTCAAGATTTCTTTTTTTGTGTGTTTACCAGCAGTTACCTCCATATGTTAAGATTCCCTTTACTGGTGTATGTTAACTTGTCTTGGCAAGTATGTTTAATCTTAAACTTCTGCTATTTCTGTGAAGATTAAATTGGGTTTTGGACATTAAGACTGAGGACATTTTGTCTTCACTTCTTCAGAGGATTTGTTTTAGGATAATTGCTTCTTTGGTTGAAGGGAAATTATCTTTTGTTCTGTTGTCAATGGTGGCCTACAGTAAAAACTACAGGTGATTTTGGATCACAGGCCAGAGATTGCAGCATTCTTTTTTTACAGACATTGCCACAGACAAACCTAAAGATACATTTATTTATTTTTTAAATCAATGATGTTAAAGTGGCCCTATTATTCTAATTGCAAGGTTCATATTAGTATTTAGTGTCTCTACTGTGCTGCAGCACCTCTTTTCACCGTCTGCCTGAACACCAGAGCCCAGTCTGCTCTGATTGGTTAGCTGGCCGTCTCTGCTGTTATTGATCACCCGCTTAGAGATGTGCCGCCTCTTAGCCTATCATGTACTGTGTGTTGGAGCGCTAGCCAATAGAAGTGTGAGTGTTACATAGTGATGTCATTATGTTACAGAAGTAAACAAAGGAGTCTAATCGAGGGAAAACCTCAAAAAGCATAACAAGGCCCCTTTAAAATATGTATTTATTTTATTGGTCTTATTCAGACACGGCTGTTTTTAATTAGCAAGAGGTCCCTTAAGCAACACACCCGATGAAGCACCTTGGATATGAAGTGTCATCAACCCCAAACTTCAACACTGGCTCGGGACAAAATAACCCGGACACCCACACCCTCACCCTGCCAGAGCCATGCTGTGTTTGGTGTAAAAATAAATGTCTACATAGTAATCACAGGCTGAGCTAACAGTTTTCAAAAGCTTGTCCTTCACAGTCTTCCTCTGACAGCCCTGATGACAACTCAGCCTCAGTTATTGTATTTCGTCCGGGGCCCGCCAGCCGTGGATCAGCCGGGAGTTTGAGAAAATACCACCATGAGTTTGAAATTGGGGGTGATGATGAGAGATGTGGCATGCAGGGCAAGGGGTTTTATCCCATGCAATGTCCACATGTTCTGGCGGTTTTCAGGCGTGGCTTTGGATGGACAAACGCATGGCGCTCCAACAACAACTGCTGTATAGGGTGGTGTAACAATAAGCATCCTGTCAGAAGGGCGCGGGCAAACTGAGAATTACATTTTGAGAGAAATAAGTTTAATTTTGATTGTGATAGAGATCAAAGACACTGAGAAAGTTTGGCCAACATTGACAGGATTTGAAATTGAGTCGAGCCAAGATACTTTAATTTCTATTTTCATTACACTTGCAAAAGAAGGCAGGTCAAGTTCATTTTATAAACAAAGGGATATGTTCTTGCAGGTAAACTCTCAATACATGCATGCAGTACAAAACCACATAAAAACACATTTTGTTCAAAAAATGTAAACAAAAAACATGAAAAAGCAATTTTTCTTTGAAATGTCGAAGACATGAAAGTACATAATTAATAAAAAGTGTAAATAAACACTTAAAAGTTCCATTAGATACGTCATAACTTGTTTTGCTAAAGCTACGTCTGTTTCAACCAACTCTCCTTTTGAATAGTAGCTGCTCTCGCAGAATTATAGAATTTGTTGAAAAAAATTCAGTAAATTCTAATGGAATTAGAGCTCTATTAGTAGATTGAAAGCAAAAGTCAAAGACACAAAATACTGTCAAATTATAAAACAAATGTCCCGTGATCCATGACCTCAGCTTCTGCTCCATGTTCGTCTTCCTTCTCATTTTTTTCTGTGAGGATTTCCACAGTGTCTTTTCTTTCCCAGAACCGAGTTGGCAGAGAAAAACAAACACACTGTCTACATCACCCTGAGCGGGAAGCAGCGTGCAGATGTTTGTTTGAGGAGTTTGAGGGAAGCTACCACCAGAAATCAGACCGTTTTCCCCCTTCAGCTCCCTCCCTGTGCTTCTCCAAGCTAAACAGATGAGATCAACGCATCTTTCCTGATGTTGCTGACTCTGTCGTCAGTTAGAAACTTTTGCACACACTATTCAACCTGAAAGAGATTCTTCTTTCCAAAATCTGATGTTTTTTTTTTCCATGGAAATACAATTGCCCTTCTTCCTTTTATTGTCCTGGGGATCTGCAGAATCTCTTCTATCCACATGATGATAATCAGAATAATCAGAATATTGCTATTCGTCCCACAGAGGGGAAATTGACATTTGTTACAGCAAGTAAAGAGCCAAATATTAATTAAGAAGCATGCATACAAATATTAAGGATCGAAGTAGAAATAACACAATTTAAAGTTCACAAAATACACATACAGTGTAACAGTTTTGAAATATAGCAGCCAGCTGAAAGTATTAAAGGTGGAAGTGTACTATATTGAACAGCTATTTACAGTATATATATTGCACATAAGTAGTATTGCACAACAGGGGTGTTATAGTCTTTGTTGTTGTGTGTGGGGGTCTGCCAGGGGCCATGATGGTTGTAAAGTATGACTGCTGCTCTCAATAATTGTGAATTTGTTGAAACAGAATATGAAAAAAGGAGCGTTTAAAATATTTGTAAATGTCTCTTTGGCATCAGACAACCAGAGCCACTGTTCCAAAAATGTTGAATTGTTATTCAAGATTTTCAATATTTTGTTATCCTTTAGTGACATCTGCTGGTTTTAAAATGATGGTGAAACGGTCATGAGCTAGAGGAGTGATAATAACAAATTCTCCATCACAATGAATTCAATAAAAAAAAAAACTTTGTTTTATGTATTTATTTATTACAGGCAAAACAATAGCAAACATGTTGTAGGCCAGAAAGCACTAAATATTGTCCCCTAGCTTGAGGCTTGATTAACTAAAATAAACTTAAACCATTACTGGCTATAGTTGTTAAGTTATATATGTACCTAATGAACTATGAATCTTTTTTTATATGTCTATTCTATGCCCTTTTTTGTTTATTACGTATTTTACTGGTATTGTTGTGAACTTTTTCCCTTGCTGGTATGTGCGCCATCATGGCAACATAACAGCCCAGCGGTCAACATGGAGAGCGGCATGACTGAATTCTGACTGATTTGTTGTATTGCAACCAAAGTGTATCATTATGATGGTTTTGATTGACTTAATTGTGTTATATTTTGTTTAATGTGTCCTCAGTGGTTCTGGTTTATCTCTCGGACTGGAGAACAAGATGAGTGATTCAAAAGAGGAGGAGGACACATATTCATTCTCCAGCTGTCTGTCTCTGAAGAGTGACCGGTCTAAAGGAATACCTATATTCTTCAGTGATGAACCTGGACCCTCAGAAACAAATTAAAAGTCTGTTTCTATTGTAAACGGACCTGAAGAAGGTTCATCGTTTATGTTATCTGATCATCCAAACTGCTTTTATTATAATTACGCATGAGCACAGTATAGTACGGAAACACAGTAGAGCAGAATAGAAAATGCAGTGAAGTGCATTTATTTACTGCAGTTAAGTACATTGAACACACACTGTAAAGTACAGTAAATATAAAGTACAGTGTAAAAGGGAAATGGAGGACAGTTAACATTATCCAAGGATATTTCGTTTTTAAAACAACAAAATGTGTTATTGTGCTTTCATCTTTTCTTTTTCAGAACAAGGGTTTCTGCCTAAGTGTAACCCTCACCCTGGCCTAAGCATCTTTTTCTAAATATAATCTCAGATGTTTGGTAATAATAGTAAAAACTTGGTGAGCAGGTTGTGTTCAACACTGGCAAGTCTAGCACCCAAACATTTTCTTCGCAGCTATGCTCTTCACTGATGTCTCCCTACTGGTACCTGCAACCAGTGTTTAGACCAGACGCAAAGTGTTGCTTAATGGTTTGCGCCTGGCACAAGAATTAAGCGAGTACAGCAGAAATGCAAAAAGTACAGTAAAGAAAAGCAGTGAAGTACAATAGGGAAAAGGAGAAAGGTACACTGAAACACAGTAGATGAAAGTCAAGATTCATCTGTGTTCCTTGGCATTTTTCAGCCACACTAAATAATCAACTATAGTGAAATCATTCTCACACAGTACATGATGAACTTTGTGTTAGGTTAAGTTAATAAACCACAAACATGTAAAATGTTTTATTCTCACAAATGAATTGAAACGACAGCAACCCACAAACACGACTGTAAAATATAGAGTTTAGAGCCAGTCGAAAACATTTTAACCAGGCAAAGCTGCTCTTAACAAGAACTAATCATATCTGTAATACCCTATTCTGTGAGTCAACAATGTAATTAAAAGTTGATTACTGTGACTTACCTACCACTTGGGCAAGTTTATTCAAAATACATAGCTAGAATTTGGGTTTTAGCAATGAGTGAATATCAGTTGCCACCAATGTAACGTGCTATAAGGTATGTGTTCATCTCCACAGAGCATAGCCGTGGGAACATGTTTCAAATGGGGGGTGCTGTGGGGATGGCACCAGGGCTGGTTCTGACCAATGTGCTGCCCTATAGAGTTCTTACTAAAACAGTTACTCTTAGCGTGTGCAATAGAAACTTTGCTCTCTTTTTTTCCTTTCCGACTTCGATTTACAGTGTACGGTGGTACACTTTCGAATGACGGCAAAACACTGAATAGTCGAGTATATAAATTTACAATACGTTTAGTGTATACACCTAAAATTACGATGTCTATACTCAGTATTAAAAACCATTATGCCGCGTTTATATACACTTATTATAGACTTCCTTTCAACACGACGTTTTTCAGTCATAACAGTGTCTCATGACGATTAATTTTCATTATTAGGAAAAGTCTATTTAATATGATTTAGAGATGGTACTAGTACAAATTTATAAATACAAAAGTTTCAAAAAAATTAAAGGAGGTAGACAATTACGTATGTCAGTTAACGTAATGTCAAGATTCTTAAACGTTTATCAAGAGTGTGTCTGATGCGCGTATATGGTCATTTATGTACATTTTTACGTGTATTATATTTGTGAAAGACATATAGTGATCTTACCCTTATGGAACAACAGTTGTGTTGTATGTGATGTATGCCATCTTGTCGTATCGGTGCCTTACTCGTAAATGTAGTCTGTCTAACTAGCGCCGTACCGCACCTTCTTATTGAGTCTCACCACGAATGACAGTCAGGATCTTTGGTGGTCTCAACCACCTGTGTTAGAGTCAACCTTAACTCCAAACTCGAAGATATTACTTGTACTATCATCTTCTTATTATGGTCTGAAGACCTCTGGTTTACTTCTTATGTTCGCTACAGTACTCAATAGCTAGTATCAGTCTCGTCTGACTCTTTCTCTTAATGTTCTTTTCCAAGTTCCGTTAACCCATAAACTGTTCTTCTCCTTTTCTTACTAATTATTCTACTCTCACTTATGTCTCTCTCTCGCTCTGTCTGTCTGTTTGGTTTTTTTGTGTGTATGGAAATTCAGTCTGCCTTCTCTGGCCTCGCTCAAGATGTGTGTGGTCTTTATGTGCCAAGTGTCGGGCAGATCATACTGTGTCGTACTACCTCACCTCTCATATTAGAAGACAACGTTAATCTAGAAGAAGTAGAGAAGTGTGTGTATATGTCGAGTCTTTCACCCATTACTTGCGACGCGACGTTACAACCTTAAATAGTGGTGAGAACGTCAAGGGATCACTACTTGTTACACGACGGATTGGTGGCATAATTGTGGGATCTGTAGATGCTACATCGTTTTTACTTAGTAACAAACGATATAACAATCTGGTCAACCACCCGACAAATATTTTGACAACCCTCGTTGTCGAAAAGAGACTTACACGTCTACCTTGTAGTGCAATGTGAAGACGGTTGCTATAAGTAAAACAAAACGGTTGTTTGACTTTTGAACAATTTGATGTTGTAAGTTCTGATTTCGAAAGGGGAATGTTGTGTGTGTCCGTCTAAACGTCTGTTGGTAGAAACGAAGACAGTTTATCTTTTGTGCACGTACCTTTGCGGTTATGGGAAGTCAGATAACGACACAATAGTGGTTGTGTCACGGTCTATGTTTGCGTGCGTCACGAGTAGAGCGAACTAAAATACAGATTGGTGTATTGTTTCGGTAGGTAGGAATAAAATGTTGTCTCGTTAAACAACTTCTTCCGAATATAAGCGTCATCGCGATACCACTCCTACGATTTTTAGATTCAATAAAATGGTAATGAAAGACGACATCAAAGTAAATAATTTAGTGGATTAGGAAACCCTTTATGCCAACAATTTCTATCACTTGCTGTGGACATTCTCGACAGGGACTTTATGAATAAAACAGGAATGTCAGGTTTTTATTTTCATGTGTAGACATTAGTGTAACACTCTTTTCATTTATTCACCTAAATCTTAACATCGTTAGTAAGAAGACAGTGCGAGTAGTGGCGGATTATCTAAATAACCCAAGTCGAGATTACACTTTTGTGTGACAACAGATAACAAGGGAAAATCTATTTATTTCCGTGAAGTACAGTAGTACCGAGTAGAATCCGTAGTATAGTATCACAATGTACTACTTACTATATGTCTTCCCCCCCCCCCCCCCGTTTCCTCCATCTGTGTGGACCTGTAGATTGCCGAGTAATATAGTTTAGTGTCAACGACGGGTGCCTTTCGTGGAAGTAGAATAAGCAAGGTTCTCATATAACTATGTTTCATCCGCTCGCGCAACAAGACAATATTCTCACTAGTGTTCCAGATACGTTCACAGTTAATCGTCTTTAGAGTCGGCATATTCATTTTCACTTTCCTAATCAAACTAATAACTAACCACCCAAGGATTGCTGTTTGTAACCAGGACGTTGGTTAAGAATGCTAGTTACTTTTGTGCTCAGTAAACAGTTCCTGCTCACGGTTGTGGAAGGACCAAGGTCGAGAGTTATAGTCTTACATGACGAAAAAGAACAAATTTACTAACCGTTTAAGTTAGCGAAGCCAATGTCCTGACAACCAGCCTGTTTGTTCTGTAAAATTTCTCAGGTTACCGTAGACTTTAACCGCTAATTGAACAACAAAATTCACAAAACGTTTAGTTAGTCGGCTATTCAGAGTTTTATCAAAATGGTTTTACTTCTTATAGTTCATTCAAACATAACGTCAGGACGACACTGATGCTAAACGTTATGTTGGGGTATCGCATACGTCGGTCGTTAATGTAGAACATGAGGTACATGACAAAGAGTGTTGTCCTAGTAACCAATCACACCAGTTAGATCGAACCTAGTTTGTTAACATGTCTCATTATAACCTAGTTAGCGTATAATGTTATTTTGTGTCTAGTATGTATTCCTATGTATTGGTAATTGGAATATGTTATACAGGACACCTCCCTTCTTAGACAGGCCTTTCTGGGTAAAGAAAGAGGTCCAAACTGTTCCCATGGGCTTTTTCACACGACAGTAAGAGCTTTGTCGACACTCTCTACTACGGACTACTGTCGTCCTCGTTGTACACTCGGGTTCTCGACTTAGGTGTTCATTTGTGTCGTCTTACACACTCGTTATGTACTATTATCACTTTGAATGGTCACCCTCTATGGGTCAGTCTCGTCGACACCTGTCTCTCTTAGTTGACATATGACGAATTGTTGTTTACACCTGAAATGAACTCATAAAGGTAAAACACGTTGACTGAAGATGGGTGATGTTAAGTCTCCATTTATCATATGGAAATAGAGGGTGCCTAAATAAAAATATACAAACTTAATGAAACGTGTATAACTAATTATTACCACTTTATGATTAGTTTTGAATTTTTCCTAATATCGATGTGAAACCTCAGTGAAAGGCTTTCGGATGGGATGTCATATGTTCACGTACTGGTTGGTCATGTGGAAAGGTCAAACTATGATGAAATTAGTAGTTGGCATTATACTTATTTTTGTATTAAGACCTACCCGGTTAGACGTATTTACTCATGAAAAGTGAAACGTGAAATCCATATAAGAACTAGCGATTAGTGAAAACACGAAAATGAACTCATTGTACACTAAGTCCTTCAGAATGAACATTGTTTGTTCATAGATGCTGAGACCATGAAGCGTGAAAATGGATTAATGATACATAGATTCATTGAAGAACGTAGGATTCCCACCCACTTCAACCTATTATCTGTACACACGACGACGCAACTTAGTATTCTATTGGGTATTTTTTTATCGAAATTGAAAACGTTCTTTTCGGACAATTGTGCCGACGTTCATGGTCCGTCTATCATTGTGAAAATATAAGGTAATTATTATCGTTGTTACCACCGATTACGAGGACTCGATCGAGTACACGATTGTAATCGTTGATTAGTCGCGCCTCTATTGAGATTAATGGGCGATTACGATGCATATGTGTATTGCAATCGTCGGCAATCGACCCCCAGGTGCCTCTTCGATCGTCCGATTGAGTGGCTCTTCATTCTACCTGGTGGGTCGAAGGGCTGACGTCTTTCATATATCGGTGGTCGAACACAGACTCACTCGGGCAATCCTAGCCCTCGGCAACTTTCGAAACGGGACGACGGACGGCAATGAAACGTCCTCCGGGCTTGTTCGCCGCCGGAGGCCAGTCGGACCCAGCAACCTGAGAAGGTCAGTACAAAAGACAAAAATCGGTGGTACCAAAGGCGGTCCCTTCTCGGTGCCTCCCGCTCTTAGGCTCCTCTTATTGTTTTTTTTTTGG